AGCAATTTACTCTGAGCAGCTAATCGGATGCTACGGATCTAGCTTCAGTATCTACACACATAGACAGTGAGGTCTATGTGGCCTCTTGGCCAATCGGAGGCCAGGATGATGCTCGGTAAGCCAATAGCAGAGCAGCTATGAGTATGTTGAGCCCAGGAAACTCGCAGCTGTGACCGAAATAAACATCGTTCACTATGTAAACCAGTGTGGTGGTTGCTGTTGCCTTTTTTCGAACGAAGCAGTAGAGGTCGCTGTTGGATAAGACTTCGTTGTAGGGAATGTCTTCGCGAGGCTGGAGCAGACAAAATGATTTCGTATAACGTATAACGCAACAGGGGGTTTTTCGTCGTATGGGGTGCAGGAGAATGGGAATTGTGTTAATGCATGAAGATTTTTTCACATAAGGGGGTATTTTCGCCCATGCAGGTTTCGTTCTAGAGGAGTTTCGCTGTAGTCTTCTGGGGGCTCAGCATATATTAATACATTTTGGTAGAGAGGAATATAGGCCTACTGTCATATAGGTTATGTTATCGGGCATCCTTTTAATTCCCTTGAACAACCAAGATTGAACTTTTGAACTCTTTATAATTTCTATTATCTAGTCCAGTTAAAGTCCAGGGGAGGAAGCCCCATCATAGTAAAGAGGATACTAATGTGATGTGTGTAGTTCTTCATAGCCTCTTCATTTTGCTCTCAAAGTGCACGGAATTGATGGATTTTTAACAGAATGTAGAAAAAAATTCTCCCGGGGGGGCATACCCCCGGACCCCCCTAAAGGGGCTGTGTTCCCCTTGGGGCTAAGCCCCCCTTGTTCTTGAAACATAGTGACGCCCCTGGCTGGTCAGAAACATACTTTGTTGGAAAGTTGGAGGTTTAGGATGAGTTAAGTTTCAGGTGGATGAATGTAAGTCAATGCATCTTTTGAAATAGTCTCAGGGCTTCTGTAAACTATGTATTCATTGGCAACCGGTTCAGGTTGCACCCCACCTCACGTCCATAGTCAGCTAGAATTGGCCCACAGCCCAAGTTAGGACAAGCGGTAGAGAAAATGGATGGATGGGTGGATGGATGGATGTTTTTGGTAAACTAGGAGGTGGCACGCTTCAGCCGGTCATAATGCAGGAGCCGCCCCAGTTTAAAATGTGTGCGTATAGCAGTTCCCCCACATTAGTGACCTCTAAAACAACAATCTTTCCAGGCCAATAGCATACGAGCTGTGAAGCAAGCCTATTCCATTGTTGATCTGCTGATGTATGTGTTTTTTTTCTGTTCAAACAATCAACTGACTGAACTCACACAGAGGCACATATAGAGCAGTTTCACTTGGCGTCTTTTGACTTACTGAAAATTTAAAGGGATACGTTTGCAGCAGTAAAAAGTTAATATTTTGTCCATGATTAATGTCACCCCTACCTGAACCATCACCTTAATTTGACAGGGGGGTTGTGTGTGCCAATAATCTCAGGGGATAAATTATCTGAGGCTTTATGCCCCTGGCTAGGTCCCCTATGGCAAAAGGTGAGGCACCAGACCAAGTCATAGACCTCCAATGATGAATGAAATATTTGGACCTCGCGGAGGTCTCGTTGAGTCACATGTTGCTTACCTCCCTTGTTTAGGCGGCTGACTGGAGCTATGGCCGTACGGTGGTCATTGTGGCAACCCCCGAACCTGTTGGTTGACACCAGAGGTGGGTTTGGGCCTGTGGCACTCACGAGGCAGCTGATGGGTTCCGTTTTTTGTGGTCGCCAAGCCAAAAATTCGGGTGTGGGAGGAGTTTAATGAAGCCATGGAGAGTAACACAGTATAGTGCACATGGAGGACTGGTGACCTCTGAATCGGAGGAAGCATACTTTGAAGACCTCCTTAATTCCACCGAGACGCCTTCCCATGAGGAAGCAGAGTCTGGGCTCTCTGAGGTGGGCGCATCTGCAACATCACATGGACATCGGGGACAGTGCCTCTGTGCCTTGTGAATTTGGAGGTGTTCGAATGTGCACCCCGGTGGATCTTAATCGAGGGTGCTCCTGGAGTATCAGCCACCGGGCGCCCGAGTACGGGCTGTTCGATCGCTGTACGACCAGTGTCAGAGTTTGGTCTGCATTGCCGGCAGTAAGTCGGATTAGTTTCCAGTCAGGATTGGACTCCACCATGGCTGCGCTTTGTCACCATTCTGTTCATAACAGTATTTCTGGGCACAACTAAGGCAGGACCGCAGTATTATATACAGGTAATGTGGTTCCATTGGCCTCATCGAGCTGCCTTCCTCAACTCTCACCTCTAATCGGAGCAGTTCACAGCCAAGTGTGAAGCGGTTGGGATGAGAATCAGCACCTCCAAATCTGAGACGGTGGTACTTGGTTGGAAAAGGGTGGAGTGCCCTCTCCAGATGAGGGATGTCAATGGTGATATTTCGCCCAGCCCTAAGCACGCACACACCCATATTTCTAATTCAAGTTCAATTTTCTGCATTCCCTAACACACAGGTGTCAAACTCAAGGCCTGGGGGCCAGCTCCGGCCCACCACATCATTTTATGTGGCCCGCGAAAGCAAATCAAACATGTCAACTTCTATGATGATTGCTAAAATTTGTACCAAGATTTAAACTTCTCATATGTAATAAATAAGCGAGATATTGTAAGCATTTTATTGTTACCAAACCCCTCATTACACTAACTTAACGATCGTTCAGTGAACCATTCTTCTTGACTTCTTTATATGTTTTCACAGTCATGGCGGCCCTCCAAGGGAAACGGTCACTACAATGTGGCCCCTGACAAAAATGAATTTGACACCGCTGCCCTAGCACGTTTTATGCGTTTCACATGAATAACATGTTGATCACTTAGCCAGTCCGTGTAGGCAATGCAATAACAATTCTCACGTAGGATTGACACAAACGATTATTTTGCTATTTGATGAGTCACCAATAGCAGTTACAATTCAGTGGTTAATCGGATCAGATGTAAATAGGAGAATATTGCACTAGCACGCAGCTGCTCTTTTATAACCATCATTAGCTTACAGCCTGAATTCTGTAAGGTATATACAAACTAAAAATAAAGACAATTAAAATGTTCGTACATTCAACTTTGATTAAACTTTGTAGCTTGTACCAGCATGCGTAACATGTTGATACATGTTGGTGGATTTTAAATTGAAGGTGATGCTGTGGACTTGACATTTTTGGCTGTAAATGTTGAGTGCATTTTAAAATGGAACCAAAAACTACACGACGCATACTTGCACTAGGAATACTACAATAGTATGCATAGATACAAAAATACAACTTGCGAACGTTTGTAGATGCGAGCAAATGCTGACAGATAAAATGCCAGATTGCGGTCACAACTTCATGTTTTCAAGTGCGTGCCATCATACAATACGGTACCGTAGTTCCCCTTTCCCCGCTAAATAATAGCGGTGGTGGCGGCAAAAAACGCAACACAAGCGATGATAGTGGTCGTGATAAGAAACGGCAGGCAATTGCCATGGAAACGGAGGTTGCTGTTGTTAAAAAGTGGGACAGTGGTGAAAGAAAAGATTCATGTTGCACATGCCTTGGTGTGAATCCGTCAATGGTCAATGCCTTCCACCTCAGCCTCACCTGAACTTCTCCACTCATCACTTTTTCCTATTCTAACATCTGCGTGAGCTTTTTTTTTTTTTTTGAATCATGATGTAGCGCGGGGCGGCCAGTGGTTAGCATGTCGACTTCACAGTGCAGAGGTACCGGGTTCGAATCCAGCTCCGGCCTCCCTGTGTGGAGTTTGCATGTTCTCCCCGGGCCTGCGTGGGTTTTCTCCGGGTACTCCGGTTTCCTCCCACATTCCAAAAACATGCATGGTAGGCTGATTGAACGCTCTAAATTGTCCCTAGGTGTGAATGTGAGCGTGGATGGTTGTTCGTCTCTGTGTGCCCTGCGATTGGCTGGCAACCGATTCAGGGTGTCCCCCGCCTACTGCCCGAAGACGGCTGGGATAGGCTCCAGCACCCCCCGCGACCCTAGTGAGGATCAAGTGGTTCGGAAAATGAATGAATGAATGATGTAGCGCACTGTATGAAAATGTCATAAAAATGTAAGTCTTTGAAGGTAATCAATGTATAGGCAATGTATACACTGTATAAAATTGTTGATTCATTGCTTTATGTAACTTCTACAATTTTATTATTTGTTATTTGTCTTTGTTTTTAGCTTTGTTATTGTGACACAAGGCGGCCCGGTGCTCGAGTGGTTCGCGCGTCAACCTCACAGTGCAGAGGTAGCGGGTTCGATTCCAGCTCCGGCCTTCCTGTGTGGAGTTTGAGTGTTTTCCAGTGTCTGTGTGGGTTTTCTCCGGGTACTCCGGTTTCCTCCCACATTCCAAAAGCATCCATGACGATGCGATTGGCAATTGGCTGGCAACCGGCTCAGGGTGTGCCCCGCCTTCTGCCCAAAGACGGCTGGGATAGGCTCCAGAAACCCAAGATTTTCAGCAATAGTTATTTTAACCCTTTGGTTAATAGCCTATGTCATCAGGTTACATGTTATCATTATTGGTGCATGAAAGGGTTAAAGTGCTCTATGAGTACAGTTGAGTTGAGTGTATCTGCCCTGCAACCCATCCAGGGTCTCCCTCGCTTCTCCGACAGTCAGCTGTCATAGGCTTCAGCTCATCTGCAACCCGAATGAGGCGAGATGCTCTCGAAAATGGTTGATGTTGGATCATGAATTCTCTGGGGGTTTTTTACAGGTCGTCACTGTGATGTCCATCAGATGACGGGAAACTACATGTGGGAGGAATCCTCTGGAAAGGAGTTTCTGATTGGGACCAATGCCGACAGCAGATTGCCTCTCTGGTGGAATGGATCAGAGCCATTATGGGTCACTTTGCAGAAGCTTGGAAAGAAAGTTTTTATGTACTACTGGCCAGGTGGTTTTCACACAATTTCATCCTCAAGATCAAGATCATACTCTCATGCATTTTAAAATAAAATAAGAGAGAAAGCCTGCTATATGACACCGTATAGTTTTTGTTCAAATGCACTGTTCCAAAGTACGTATTATGCACAGCCGTCTTTCAAGATGTTTTATAGGTAACCGAAAAGAGTTATTTGTTAACCTTGCAGCATTAGAAGGATGTCTTTTCGGAAATCACAAACTATTTCAATCAAAAACATCTTAACAGGTCCAATTCCGTTTTAACATTGGACCTCTTATTTGAGAGCAGCTCCGCACGTCTTTATTGGTTGGATATCAGGATACCATCCCGAAGCTGCTGTTTGGATGCCAACTACCTCCCACCCTCCTAGATATGTGCTTGACGATGTTCCAAAGGTTCTAAACATAGCAGCCAAATGATTGAGTGGTATTGCAACAGGAGATTGTTTACCGAGGAGTGCCGTGCAACCCCAGATGGTCAAGATGGATGGACTAGTGTAGGGTCGGTGGACGGCCGCCATGTCCCAACAAGGCTGCAATGTGAGCGGGGATGTAGCCGAGTCACGTTGTGAGACAGAATCATGGGGAGAGGGCCGGTTGGCCCCTTGAATCGAAGGCTTACGTTATATGTATTGTCATGTATTTAGCAGTTGAATAAAACAGACAAGGAGGCAAGGCTATCGTTGTTAAAATCACCAAGCAAAATGCTATGGTGTTTTTGGTTTTTCATTAAATCAGATTCAGAATTGAGATACAAATTCGCTGTGCGGATCAGGGCAGCAGCATCTGCCATATCTAACTATAAATGCTGTGACGTAAACATCTATGGCATCTCACATTTGTCCATGTGTGTCTGTAGGCTGTGAGGTGGAGATTTTGGGAGTTCGCCCAACCTTCTGTGAAGAGTACAGCTACAATCCATCGATAGCAAACCTAACGGATTCCATTGAGCGTTCTCTCGACATGCTCAGGTAGGAACAACGTGTCTGTAAAACCAAACGGCGTAGGACAAATGATCTGCATTTGTAGACCACGATTTTCTTCACACAATTTAGCGTTACTGAGAGTCATGCCTACTCGTTTGTCTTTTGGCCTCTCACTGTCAGCGTGTACCATGACAACAAACAATCGAAGATCAAATATGACAGTTGCCCCCGCAGGTCATGATGCTTTGGAACGTAGCAGAAAGCAGGGGACAAAAAATATATATTTTTCGCCAGCAAAGAAGATTAGCGCGGAAGTGTGGGGATTATTCACTTGTTAAAAACTGCAGGTGCAAATTCAAGATATTCCTCATTTCCGCTTCAACATTTGTAATTCAGTCGGTCACCAAATAGGATTAGGGAGAAACCTGACCATTTGTTCAACGTAGTAAAAATAACAAAATGGTGGTTCGTTAAATATGTATTCATTTTCCGGTCGGCACGGTGGTCGACTGGTTAGCAATCCGGTCGCACCGTGCAGAGGTTCAGGGTTCGATTCCGGCTCCAGCCTTCCTGTGTGGAGTTTGCATGTTCTCCCCGGGCCTGCGTGGGTTTTCTCCGCATACTCTGTTTTCCTCCCACATTCCAAATCATGCAGGGCAGGCTAATGGAACACTCTAAATTGTCCCTTGGTGTGCGTGTGAGCATGGATGGTTGTTTGTCTATGTGTTGCCTGCGATTAGCTGGCAACCGGTTCAGGGTGTCCCCCGCCTACTGCCCAAAGACGGCTGGGATAGGCTCCAGCACCCCTCACGACCCGAGTGAGGATAAAGCGGTTCAGAAAATTGATGGATGGATGGATGTTGATTTTCAACTGCATTTTGTCTTTGGAGATCAGTGGATGTTTCCAGTTACCGTTTTGTCGTTTTTAGTAGTTTTGTTTAAATGTTTGCATGCATACATGCTAATGTGTGTGTCTTGTTCATGCGTAGGTCAGGCGATGCAACCATGGCAGCGATATATTACGAGAAAATAGACGTAGAGGGACACCACTTCGGTCCAGACTCTCCCCAGATCAAAACAGCAGTGCAACAACTGGACACGGCAATGCAGATGCTGAACGACAAAATTAAAGTTAGTAAGCTGTAGATATTGTTACAGATACAGGTTGACCTCTCTTTTCTCTCAGTCAACTAATTAGTTCTCATTCGCATCCTCTGTTCATGGGATTTTTATTTATTTATTTTTTTTGCAGGAGAAGAACATGTTGAATCAGGTCAACGTTGTGCTATTTTCTGACCACGGCATGACAAAAATTGAATGGATGGACAAGGTGATAGAGCTGGACAAGTATATCAACATGTCAGACATTATCAAGATGATGGACAGAGGACCAGTCGTCAGTTTGTGGGTCAAAGGAGCCAAGTTCCAACAGGTGAGACCGGAGTTTGATGCCTGCAGATGTGTGCCATTGTTTGCTCCACATGTGTTTTTTGCAGGTGCATGCAGCTTTGTCCAAGGTCCCAAACATGCATGCTTATGCCAGAGTGGAGATTCCCGAACGTTTCCATTATAAAAGAGGAAAGTTTGTCGCCCCTCTGACACTGGTGGCTGAGCCAGGCTGGTTCATTGCCCAGGTACGTCATCATTACGTCTTAGTGTACTTACCACCACTGTATTTATTATACTCAAACTAGATTCACATATATCTACTCAAATATTAATGACCGTATATGTGAAGTTGACAATTACATCATCTTGTTTATGTTTTGTTCAGACACTGCAGATATTTTATATTTGTGTATATGGTCATACCTCGGTTTTCGACCATAATCTGTTCCAGAAGGCTGTTTGAAAAGTGATTTGTTGGAAATCCGAAACTATTTTATTAGCCCATGATTAAGGGCTAATACAAAATATGCAGAAATAACATAAAAACATGTTTGCACGAATCACAACAAACACGTCTGCTCATAATGAATGCTACACGAGAAAGTGTCACTTCCTCGTGTAAGGAAGCCGAGAGGAGTCAAGTGGCGTATTTGGGTTTGCTTAGTTTGGTCAAAAACCGATTTTCGGTCGTAACCGGGGGAGTAAAAATCATGAATTTTCTGGTCGAAAACCAATTTGGTCGAGAACAGAGACGGTCGAAAACCGAGATTTGACTGTATTTATGTTTATGTTTGGCTGGCAACCAGTTCAGGGTGTCGCCCCACCTACTGCGCAAAGACAGCTGGGATAGGCTCCAGCACGCCCTTGTGAGGATAAGCGGATTAGAAAATGGATGGATGGATGGATATATTTATGTTATATATTTTGTGCATGTCAATGTGTTCTGTCCAGAATAAGGCTCATCTTCCGTACTGGAAAAATGACTCCAGTGGGCAGCCCTCGGCATGGCAAAATGGCTGGCATGGTTACGACAACGATTTTCGAGACATGGGCGGCTTTTTCTTGGCAGCAGGACCTGGTACTTACAGTAAATTGGATTTGAACTGGTTAAACCTCATTTTGCTTCAGATTTCTCAAGCAGAGAACAACCTGACTAAAGTAAAAACTTGACAGTTCTATTTAAAGTTGAACCCCATGACCCATTCTGGGATGCTGTGACTTCAATTAGTTCAGATAAAAAGAAAATAGACAGAGCACAGGAATTAATAGTAATTTAATTGATGTGTTCCAGTAAACTACATGTATGTGCAAGCAATGTTTGAAGAAACTTAATTACCTAATAAGAGTAAAAAATAATTTTACTCTCTTGAAACTTTACAAATCAATGAGGATATAGACTAGTAAATGTTGTTGAACAAATTCTTTAAAATAAAAAACAAAATTTTGGATGTAAAAAGAAAGAGGAAAACCAAATAAATTAAAGCTGATAACACGAAATGTGGCCAATTGGCAGTTAGCTAACAACCAGCTCGCCTTAATTAGTTCATCGCCAATAATCGTAAGGTCCATATGCCCATTGGCATTTGGCTAACTAGCAGCTAGCTTTACTTCGCTAATCGTCAATGGGCAACTTTACACCATCCACAATGATGAGCTGACCCCGCAATCTCATTTCAGATGCATGTGAGCACAAGGAGATGGATGGCGTTTAAGAGTATAGATAACACGGTTTAAGACAGACATCATAAAAGTTACAATATATGTACTTTATTGTCTTAACTTTACAGGGAGTCTTTAAAAGTAACATTTTAACATTGTCATACAAGTGTAAAAATCAGTTACCTGCTCTTAAAATATAACATTGTTCTCTTCCTTTCATGTAGACTTCAAGCAGAATTTCCGCGCTGCTCCTATCCAAGCTGTGGACGTCTATAACGTCTTATGTCGGACGCTGGAAGTGGAACCTTTGCCAAATAACGGTTCCTGGTCTCGTGTTCAGAATCTCCTCAACAGTTCTGGTAGTTTGCACTTGCCAACAACCCAATGGATCTGCGCCATGATTTTTTTAGGAGCCCTGCTGGCACTGCGCCAATAAAAGACCCCTCGGTTGAATATTGTTAAATGTCTACAGGCAAAAGACATGTTGTAACAACCTATAGACTATAACTTGAAACCACCAAGAGTAATTATAGATCCAAGTAAAATTCAGACACAAATAATGATGATACTATTTATAAATGTGTTTGTGTTTTTTTTTTTTTTTAAATTCCAAGTGAATTTCTTCAGTCCTTTTAGGAACCTAGGAGACTTTTTTGACAGAGGTGAGGGATATATTACCCGGGAGAAATATAACTATACACTAAATATTTTGATATTCAATGCAGATTTCTGTATCGTTCTTGTATTCTATCAATAGATTTTCTTTGATTTGAAACCTTGTGCTGTCTTGATATTTTCAGCATCTTATTACTGAACAACCTAACGTGTAGACTACCCAAAGGATTTGTGGGGTCATGATTTAAAAAAAAGGGTAAACAAAGAAACCATAAGAAGGTGGTCCAGTATTCATAAAATTAGCATTTTAAATGAGGATTTTGCAGATTATTGGTAAAATCTGGGCCTCTTCAGATTTCAATGAAACACACAATTGAGAATATCGATGTCTTTTTTTTCATCCACGGCCTCGCATTGCTTCATGTCCTAAATTTACTTTGCGAACATATAGATTTTATTTTTAACACTGTAAGACATCAAACAACTAAGACCCGTTAATAAAACGATACTAAAAATAAAATACAGCATCTAAAAAAAAAAAAGATGCTATTAAACACGTGCTTAATAAAGTTGCCCTCCATGGTTGAGCATTTGGACATCACCTATTCTTGCATGGTAACATGGCAACCCACACCCCCCCAAAAAAACAGTCCCAATTTTTTTGTTTTTGTTTTTATATACAGAAGTACTCGCACTGCTTTTAAAAAAGGTAAGTCACTCCGATGACACAAGTCTCCGTGAAATGTGCAGTTACTCCCCAATTGTCATACTAAGTGCAAAACTGTTGGTCCCAAATACATAATTATGTCTTTTCAGACGCCACAAATTCAGTCTCAAGTAGTTTTGTAGGTATATATTTTTGTAATTTTTCAAGAGTCAGAGTAAATGGATGGATCAATAAGTATAATAATATTTAGTAAATCGTCTGCATTTTCTCTGGGTTTTATTGGGCCAAGAAATGACGCACACATCCGGTTTTAAAATGTTACACTGATGTTGTGTGTTACTGCCACCACCTGGTGTTATTGCAGTGCTGCCACAACCAAAAATAAATAAAACTTTATCATGAAAAAGGAACACTTAAAACACATTTACCTGATGACAATTCGTCTTGTATGTTTTTGCCAATCAGCAAGGATTTGCGGTCCCCTGCATTATGCTCTTAAATTTAGACTGAAATTTGCAGTTTTTGACATGCCACACACATTCAGTAACTGGTTTGGAGTTTGAATGATCATTCTGTCTGTACCAATCTATGATAGCATTTAGTATCAGACCTGCAACCGGTTTGTTTTCATCTCGACACACGCAACATTAGAAGAATTAAACATGTTGCCTGTCTATAGATTTAATGGACAGTTAGATGGAGAGGTTTTGTTGTGTGGGGTTATTTTAAATTATTATTACTATTACATTATGACAAATTATCTTAAATTGCTACAATAGGGGGCGGCCTGGTGGGCCAGTGGTTAGCGCATCGACCTCACAGTGCAGAGGTCGTGGGTTCGATCCCAGCTCCGGCCTTACTGTGTGGAGTTTGCATGTTCTCCCCGGGCCTGCGTAGGTTTTCTCCGGGTACTCCGGTTTCCTCCCACATTCCAAAAACATGCACAGGCTGATTGAATACTGTACTCTAAATTGTCTCTCGGTGTGAGTATGAGCGCAGATGGTTGTTCGTCTGTGTGTGCCCTGCGATTGGCTGGCAACCGGTTCAGGGTGTCCCCCGCACTGCCCAAAGACAGCTGGGATAGTCTCCAGAACCCCCCCCACAACCCTTGTGAGGATAAAGCGGATCGGAAAATGGATGGATGGATGCTACCGAGGAGCCATGACATCAGCCCGCGCTGTGTCATGAAATACCTTGCGGATAGTCAATCCAAAGTATGTATTTTTTATTTGCCACATTTTTGATATTTGTACTGGCTTTCATTTAATTGCGGAAACGTACATAAGTGTAAGCATGTTACACTTGTAATAATGCTTGACTTTATTTGCATTGAAGTACTTCATTTGGATGTCGCCCATAACATGACTTTATTCAAATCAAGAACATTTGATGACATGCTTAGTCGAACTGACTGCTGAGACTGCCCAACGTATTGACGCATTTGATTCGAGCCAAACCAGAGGCAATTGTTCTAAAACTGCAAGGGAAGCTAAGCTTCCCCTAAAATGTCAAAAAGTATGTGATCAAATATATTGTGTGTACGTACAATTGTGCGGACATGTCGTTGACTAAATATGCGCTACAACGCTCTCAATTTTTGTTCCAAAACAGCTTCTTCTTACTGGTTACGACGCGACTCTCTTCTCATTCATTCCCACAGCTTAACTGTGCTTTAAACTGTGTGGACACGGAGCGTCGACCACGCGGACGACGGGCGTCGAGAGTTCGGTGTCGGTTGTCCCAATGCATTGAAACGAGACGAGTAATTGGATAAATGTTGGTTTTGTCCCGCCCGTCGGACACGCAGCGTGTCTAGGAGTCTATGGACAGTGGGCGTTTATAGGCTGGCCCGGAAACTCAGCTTTCTGCATGATGATTGGATGATCGGTCTGAGGCTGAATCTCTTTTTGATTGACAGCGAAATGAGCCAACCACCGATCTTATGTGGAAGGCATCCTTTTCATTTTTTTGAAAAGGAACGGAGAGTAGAATTCACGTATAAATAAACGGACACGTTTTATGATGTAGGCCGAAATTGAGCTTCCCTTCCTTGACAGACCAGCATCCGCCACTGAGCCAAACATATACCCATTTGTATAATCAATTACAATGCTGCACTGTTGAAGCTGGTATGTTAAAGAAATTCCACGAACGCCCCAAATTTTCAAGAGACACATGGTGACTGGCCATTACGCATTTATTAGCAGATGGGAGCATGAAGACACGATGTTCAGCACAGAAATGGAAACAAGCATATTGACGGTCATGAGAGCAACTTGCATCTCACACACACGCACGCACGCACGCACGCACGCACGCACGCACGCACACACACACACACACACACCACACACACACACACACACACACACACACACACACACACACACACACACACAGTTACCTTTGGCATCCCTCCCACGTCTCACCCTAACATCAAGCAAGTTGTGCTATAGACTTCCTTCTTGCGCTAATGAACCCAAATATGATTGGAGAAGAGGAAGAGAAGACATGGACAGAGGGAGGGCTCCTTTTATGAAGTGTCCCAACTAAGACTACCGTGCACATGCGGCGGTGGCGGCTGCTGCTGCTGCTTCTTCTTGTAGCTGGGCCAGCGACACACGGGACAGCAGTGTCGGCCCGCATCCAGCCACACCACAATGCACTGCTGGTGGAAGGCGTGGCCGCAGGGCAGACCCATCAGTAGTTCTTCACTCACAAAGTTCTCCAGGCACACAACACACTCGGAGCACCACAGGATGTTGCGGGGCCACCCCGACCGCTCCCCGCACTCATGTCGAGCAACGCTGTCAGCTGACGGGATATCAGTGTCGCCTCGGCGACGGCGGCGCGACGATGCCGCGGCAGCGCACGCGCACTCGGCGTTACTGTCGACAGAGCGCTTGTCGCCATCCCGTGCGCTCTCCTGCCGTTGGCCGCTTGGTGGTGGCGCGTAGTCACTCGACTCACTACTGTCCGTATCTGAGCGGCAACTGTCGGTCTCCTCTTCGGGCTCATCTGCGCCGCCACATCGGAACTTCCAGGCGGGTAAAGCTTTAATGTAATCCATGCTCACTAACGGGCGGAGCCAAAGATCGGGGAAGGCCAAACGCTCAAAAAGGAAGCTGGGGTCATCCTCCCAGTCTGATGGCACCTGTTGAAGCGATGCGATTGGGTGAAGTAGATAGGAGGTGTACCACTCCCACAGACTGGCCAGCCACTCCAAGTTAGTGCTGCTGTCCTCTTGGCTTCTGTTGCCGCAGCGGCGCTTTTTCTCAAAATAATCGACCAGCAGGCCGTGGGCCAGGTAAGTGGATAGGAAGAGAGCCGGGTGGGATGAATAGAAGGTCCAGTCGGATCTCACCACGCTGGCCAGCGTGGTGGTGTCAGCGTAGCGAAGCAACTTCAGACTGTAGCCATACAGGGTGTCCAGGTAGGACAGCTGGAGGAGGGCCTTGGCAAAAAGAGGAGGGGATTCGTCACCGACTTCAATATCTCGACTCAAACGCTTCCAATAGCTCAGTGTCACCACAGAGAGGTATAAACGACATGGAAACGTCATTCGGTATCGTGTACTACTAAACTACAACAGTAATCATAACGAAAAAAGGTTTACAAGGTCAAATAGACTCATGGGGGCACAACCCTAATGAAAAAAAAAATGATGGTACCACAAGAAAAGACTGAAACGAGATTGTTGCGGGTCATGGGCCTACTGACAGGATTATGACAACCCGCCCCACACCTTCAGCTAATAAACACCAAATAAGGACCAAGAGCAAAATGGATTGTTCTGAAGTGGCCTTACTTTAGCGCTGAACAAAATCCAACTGACCATCTGTGGAAGGAGCTGAAACGCGGCATCGCAGATAACTGCAGCAGTTTGCTCTTGTGGGAGCGAGCCAAAATAAAGCTCTGTCCACTAGGCATGTCACAATAACACATTTTTCAGGACAACTTATTTCCCCAGAAACTATCACGATCAATATTTCTTTTGATGGCAACGACATCGTGATGCTTTTTGAGCAAAGACAATTATAGTGCATCCTTTTTCAGAGCGATTATCTTTCGATCCTCAAGAATATTGAACTCTTGTATAATAAATAATAATAACATATCTTTGCTGAAAATAGCAATAAAAATAACTCGGGCTCTGTTAAAAAAAAAAAAAAAAAAAAAAAAAGAACAACACATATAACCACAGACTCGGAATAAAATGACGTGTTTTATCTCCATCAGGTTTTCTTTCACTTGGTTGCACAAGGCTGGAATGGCTGTTTGGGAAATCGGCATATATTAATTTTTGTTACGCAATTCGGACTGCCTGTCAGAAGTCTGCAGTTCGGTTAAAAGTTAAAAAAAATGATCAGAGGAAGTATGTTCCCAGCATTAAAATTATTCCTGTTGAGTGTTTCTTTTTAATTATAATAACAGATCTTTCTCTGGGCGGTCCGGTGGTCAATTGGTTAGTGCGTTGACCTCACAGTGCAGAGGTCTGGGGATCGATTCCAACCCCAAATTCCCTGTGTGGAGTTTGCATTTTCTCCCCGTGCCTGTGTGGGTTTTCTCCGGGTACTGTGATTTCCTCCCACATTCCAAAAACATGCATGACGGGTTGATTGGGCCTTCCAAATTGTTGTGTGAGTGTGAGCGCGGATGGTTGTTTGTCTGTGTGTGCCCTGCGATTGGCTGGCAACCGGTTCAGGGTGTCCCCCGCCTACTGACCGAAGACGGCTGGGATAGGCTCCAGCACCCCCCGCGACCTTTGTGAGGATAAAGCGGATCAGAAAATGGATGGATGGACATCTTTCTCTATCTAGTGTATGCCCGTGCAAATGAGAAAGAGTTGCGCGTGCCTACAAAGCAAAGGAACACCTGTGAGGCCAACCGAAACCGTTGAGCCATACCCTTTTTCAAAAGCCGTTCCGCCCCGAGTATGCATGTGCGCTGACGACCAAATCGGCGAGCAACGTGACTGACAGGAGAGGGACGAAGCGTCCTGAATGAAGATTGATGACGTGTCTAAACAAACATGCACATTCAGTAAAATACCATTTATCGAGTCTGGAAAACAACTACGGTGGTCTTTTTATTCATCCAACGCTAAGTCGATGGAGGAATTATCATGACAAGCTGACGGTGTGACTGTCATTGATTCATTAGAAGCGGTGATAAACGACGAACACAATGAGTGTTTTTGCAGAACGACATGTAATTTCCTACCAGAAATGGAAGCCAGGACACCAAAAGGATGGAATTGTAGGTCCCAAGCGTTCGGATTAGAACAACAAACCGCTTCACCGTTGCTCCCTGCCCATAAAAATGATCACCATTAATATACACCTCACACAATGTGCTTGATCAAAATGGAATAAGACTGACGATAGTCAGTCATGGCTCCGCCACACTTTTAACGAATAGTTTGATTTCACTTGTGTGGCCTTCGCGAGGAAATAAAGCAGCGGCTTCTGCGCTTCCTGCTGATTCGACAGTTTGTATGACGCATTGTGAGCATTTTTGGTGTCGACACAATTTGGAATGAAGGTATCACTTGAGACACAGTCAACCTATACATTCCATGCAAATCAAATGAAACTATTCGAGTGGAGTCAAAGTCACCTGTGTAATGAAGAGATCCATCCACGCCAACAGGTTGATCAGGACAAGACTGAGGACAAAAAGGTCATTGACCTCTGGTTGGACCGAACGCAGGAAGGTGTCCATGGCTGCCACGGACAAGAACTCGCCAGTACTGCGGAGAATGAACAAAAAAATAAAGAGTCATTTGAAAAAAAGTGCTGGTCAACGTTCAACAATGAGATGCCCGGAATCTGTTTCAACTGAATGGTGAACCTGTTGCCATAGTGATAGATGCCCTCTGGCATCTTCAGGATGTAGGCGGGGCTCTGTGTCACGCCAATCTCCAACAGGCTGCTGCGGTTGTCCCAGTGACTTACGTCCACGAATATGAACTCGATCCTGCCGGTGAACTTGACAGAGAGCGAGGAGAAGAAAACGGGCGGCTGAGGCAGGGGTGCGAACAGAAACATCTTTAACGGGTGGAGCGGGTCGGGGCGCCACTCCTCCAGCAATTTCTCCGAGCGACACAGCGTCTTGATGCGGTGAGACATCTGGGAGGTCATCCAACGGAAGATGTGCTCGGGTTCGATGCGGCGGCCGTCGTATTCTTTCAGCATGACTTTGCCCTTCGATGCTGACGTCTGCGGGACTGACATGACCAGAGTGGAACGCTGCCAGCCTCGTCGGATACACGACCTTGTGGAGAGAACGCAGAGTGGCGTCATGTGCCGCCACTGCACTTTTTACTAGTTTGTTAATATGAGATGGTGAGGACACTTTCAAGAAATTTGATCTGTACAACAACTGACATACAGCTAGTTCTATTTTTTCTATTTTTCTATTTTATTTTTCTACAGGGCTGCCCTAGGAAGTAAAATATGAAAATATATATATACACGCACACACACGCACACGCAGATAGACAGTCATATCAAATACAAAATGACTCCTTCACAGGAAATTATATTGTGCTTCAACAGCAATACATCCATATCTGTGCATTTCCTGGCCTACTCTTACTCATCAGGGTCATTATACAGAAAATTTGCGTCTCGGATTTTTTTTATCCTGGTTTACTAGGCAATGTGCAAAATATATTATTATTTATTAGTACAATTGCATTAATGGATATGACTGTGTACTCAGCCCACTAAAATGAAGGCATTGTGTTAAGCAAATACATGTCACTGCTTCAAAGAAAAACAAAAATGACCTGGCAGTGGCACTCCAACAATGCACATTGCACAAGCATTTTCATGTGGAGACATACTTTTCAAGGACCAAAATAAAAAGAACACCTCTCACCATTTATTTCACTTGACTGAGCCACGGCCGCTTGGTATTTTTTCATTATGACTCTTACTGTATAGCAACACAGTGCAGCGTGACGGCATTTGTTATTCGATGATGGATAAAGTTGTCATTATTAAAAAACATTGACGATACATGCTGGCCTCAAATTATTTTGCAGCAAATCCTTCTTATATTCGTGCCACACTAATAAAACACCATGTTATAGTCTACATATTACCAACCAGTGTACAGGTGCCACCAAAATTATGTGAAGGTCAAATAGTGAACTATAGTTTTCGAACTAGTGCTAGACATTTTAAAGGAAACACCCCCCCCCGCCTTTTTTTTTTACGTACCGTATTGGCCCGAATATAAGATGGTGTTTTTTGCATTGAAATAAGACTGAAAAAGTGGGGGTCGTCTAATATTCAGGGTCTAGACATACCCATTCACGACGCTAGATGGCGCCAGATATCACTGAAGCGAATGCTGAACTTGACTCCCCAGGCCAAAGTGAACCCCTGTCACGAAGAATAAAAATAAAAATAGCGGTAGTAGAAGAAGAAAAATAAAAAAAATAGCGGTAAGAAAGAAAAGAGAAGAAAATAATAGAAGAGATAACAGAAAATGGAGAAACGTAGCGACAATCTGGAGAAAAGTGGGTCGAAGATTGGCCAGGTTAACCGGCAGCTGAGGAGAAGTTATGATGTAATTTACATTTCAAAAACCAGAAGCCATTCATTTACGAATATGATTGCACTTTAGTTTACATATTTAAATGTTCAGATATTAAGATTTGAATGAGGCAAAATAACATGCTTTTTCTCTCAAATATATTGTTATAATCATTTGTTTCAGATGTACTGTAATTATTTTTTGTAGAAAAATTAATTTGGTGTTCAAAAAGTCTTTTTTCAAACTTGAGTCTTGAAAAAGAGGGGGTCGTCTTATAATCAGGGCCGTCTTATATTCGGGCCAATACGGTATATGTCATTTCTGACAAGCCATCACCAAATAAGCTATGACATCTTCAACAGCCAAACTCCGCATTGTTCAGTTTGAGTAACTGTCATTCCTTCAGGGGAAATAAAGCAAGAATAAAGACAGCGATTTTGCTCTTCAATTTTCCTTGATCGTAATGGTGCAGTTCCAACCAACCTGTGGTCATGAGAGCAGTTAAAAGTTCCAGTTCGGATTCCAAACTGGGACACTTTTTGTACTATCTTCCCCCAGTTGGACTTACTGAGTAGAGCTTCTCGGTCTTGAGCAATGACCTGCAAAGAGATAACATCCATCCATTATCAAATCTGCTGATCCACTCGAGGGTCGCGAGCGTACCGGAGCCTATCTCAGCTGTCTTCAGGCAGCAGGCGGGCTACACCCCGAACCGGTTGCAGGCAGAGAAATAACAAACATTTTAATTGGGAAATAAATCAATAAAATTATAAACGGTGTTTACAAAACTAATGAGAAACAACCGTAATTATAGCAAACCGATCATTCATTTTCATCTTCATCAATTAATTTCATACATTGTAATCGATATGCTTTTGGGTTGATTTTAAATATATTTATTTTGGTATTGCTGCATGGTCAGTAGCCGGAAGGTCCAACGTCTGGGAGTTGGTTCAGTCCGAAACGTGAGGCTACAGAACAAAGCTCTCCTGTACACAGTACAACCGGGTTGAACTTGCAGTGAAATAAATCACAAGCACTTTTCAGCCATTCCATCCATCCAGTTTAACGACGGCTTACAGATAAGAGCTGGTAGGTAGGTGGCTTGCAGTGCCACACTATGTGTGGAATATTTCTCAAGAGAAAACCATGCTACAAATTTAGAAGTTGGAAACTTGGTCAACAAGCGAAACCATCCTTACTTTATTTCACGTTGGTTGTGATGCATCGAACTTTAGAAACAGCATTATGCACTGCACTTAATGGACTACAAAGTCTGCAGACTGTTAAATAGAACCTGTATTTGATTTATGGATGGTTGTTTTTATTATGTTTGCGTGTATCATGAAAAATCAACATTTATTTTTCGATAGCTTTTGTATTATATCAACATTTATTTTTCTATAGCTTTTAGCGGCGGCCTGGTGGCGAACTGGTTAGCGCTTCAGCCTCACAGAGCAGAGGTGCAGGGTTCGATTCTGGCTCCGGCCTTCCTGTGTGGAGTTTGCATGTTCTCCACGTGCCTGCGTGGCTTTTCTACAGGTACTATGGTTTCCTCCCACATTTCAAAAACATGCAAGGCAAGTTGACTGACCACTCCAAATTGCCCTTGGGTGTGAATGTGAGCGCGGATGGTTGTTGGTCGATGTGTGCCCTGCGATTGGCTGGCAACCATTTCAGGGTGTCCCCCGCCTACTGCCCGAGGACAGCTGAGATAGGCTCCAGCGTGCCCCGTGACAATTGTGAGGATTAAGCGGATCCGAAAATGGATGGATGGATGGATGGTTTTTAGCCATGTTAAAGCACTAATTCCTCACCAGAACTCCAAAACAAAAAAACATTGTGTTATCATCCACCCATTATTCACCCATCTCTGAACACTACTGCTATCTCAGCACCAGTTCCGCTCAATTCAAGAAAACAATTGGTTCCACAATCTTATATGTATAAGATTGATGGAGCCACCTCCAGACCACCTCTGCAAATTAAACACACAGCAACTTTCTCAAGCAGCCAGCAGGATGCCCGACAAGTGTATTCGGGAAAGCCGCCGGCCGCCCCGGCTAGACCTCCGCTGCTCTGAAAGGTCCACTTCTTCACGTTCACCCACACATGCGACTTCATTACTATTTGCTGTTTCATGAATGAACCATATATGAATTCATATTTACGTCTGTTGCAGCAGCCGGCTTTAGGATGATGTCATGACAGCGGCTCGGCAGCCAGATGGGGTTTTAGAGAGCCAGGCTACGGGTTCAAAACATTTACGCAAGGAGGAGGAGTAGTGGGGGTGGTCCACAGCCATAACCCACCATTAGAGGCCTTCTGCCGGCTCGGGCTTACGCTGGTGTTTGAGCGTACGGCACCTTCAGCCTGCAGGACGTTCTTCAGCACCAAAGGAGTTGCGAGCACCGCCCGCTCCTGCCCTGGCACGCCCACTTAGCAGCTAGGCCGAGACGCCCCCACCACTCACCAGGCTGCCCAGCGGCAAAGCCCACCGCCACGTCGCCAGCGGCCACTCCGTGAGCCGGCGGCGAGCCTTCCGGCAAACGCAACATTTCTCACACTCTTCAAGCGAGGCCGCGGTGAGGTCGGCCACGCCCGGCCTCGGACTGGCACACCAAATTGAAAATGAAAATAAAACATTTTATTGAAATTATTCATCCATTCATTCATTTTCCGAACCGCTTTATCCTCACTAGGGTCGCGGGGGATGCTGGAGCCTATCCCAGCTGTCTTCGAGCAGTAGGCGGGGGACACCCTGAATCGGTTGCCAGCCAATCGCAGGGCACACAGAGACGAACAACCATCCACGCCCACACTCATACCTAGGGACAATTTAGAGTGTTCAATCAGCCTGCCATGCATGTTTTTGGAATGTGGGAGGAAACCGGAGTACCCGGAGAAAACCCACACAGGCCCGGGGAGAACATGCAAACTCCACACAGGGAGGCCGGAGCTGGAATTGAACCCGATACCTCTGCACTGTGAAGCCGACGTGCTCACCACCAGACTACTGGGCCGCCCATTTACTGAAATGAATACCTAAAAAATAACTTAAACAAAGCATCCCCCCCCCAAAAAAACAACAACCTAAAACTAGTAAAAATGAATAAACCTGCAGTGAAAACTAATTAAAACTAACTACTTTTAATAGACAATTAACAGGCATTGGTTGAAAAATGCTCCATATACAAGAACAAAAAGGGGAAAGTTGCATCAATGTCAAGCTTTTGCAATGAATTATACAACCATGCTACTTGGTGAAGTTCAGAAGCTGTATCGTGCTCTGTTTGTTCTCCTCACACAAGAAAAATGCTGTACTAACATTCATATGTACGGTGATATAATTTTGTCGTACCTGGACCAACCAGATGCCATCTTTAGTGTCCTCCACCAATTCATAGAAGTGCATCTCACCACTGAAATGTGTGCTGCTGGCATCACCTGCTTCCGTTTGCTCATTCTCCTTCTTGATGGCTGAATATAGCTCCCCATGTGTCAGCTCTCCTGTGGTTTTGAGAACATTTTTTTTTCATCAAATGCTGTAAACATTGGTTGTTGAGTCGTATATATGATGTCTGACTCTAGTAATTGAACACTACAAACAATTTCAATGGAACCAAAGAACCACTTGGAATCTAGTCACCAAACCACGTAAACAAAGATGAAGAGAAAAAGCCATCTTGAGATGAGTGGAGCGCATCGAACATGTTATTGTCAAGACATTTTTTGACATGCCTTCCCCTTTAAATTCTGATATCCGATTAATCATCTGATCCATTAAAAAAAATAAATAATTATTTTACAACAAATAAATAACAGACAGAACATTTGACTGTTTTACAATACAGTACTTTGTTTGTTACCATTTGTTTAACTTAACAACAGAGAGAAAAATCAGCAAAGGATTTTTGAGAGGAGTGATGTTTAAATGGCATTATCTTTGTCTTATGGTGCATTGTGTTAATGTGTATATAAAAATGTCAAAACCCGTCATAAAATCTGCCATTTTTGGACCAATATTAAAAGTGCTTTATGGGGCCAATTTATCGTTTTGGACACTGTAAATTGTTAATAGAGCTACATGTGTGGTTTGCCACACTCGTGTCACATTTTCAAGCTTCAAACCTGGAAAATCATTTGTCTGGCTTCATGGTAACATTGACAAGGGTGCGATTTTCACATGCATGAAGTGAAGACGCTAAAACAGGTATTTGTAGGATGCACTCTATTTGGCTGACAGAAGCTGGCTCGGGAAGGCCTCGGTAGACAACCAAAGGTTCACCTGCGTAACATGAACTAAACGAGGATAAGCGGCAAAGGCTGGAAACACCAAATGCAGTAAGGACGTCTACCTGATTTCTCCACCAGCTGTCTGACATCCTTTTTCTCAGCCAGCCCAGCGTAAGCCAGCCCTCGACACTCCAGGATGGTCTTCAGCTTCTTATAGCTGAGCGAAACCGGGTCGACCAGCTGTGTCGCGAACACACCAGTCTCATACCAAACCACGGCCTCGAATATCCGAGCTAACATGAACAAAACGATGAAATAAAGGAGCAAAAAGAACAACTTCAGCCACATCGTACAGCTGGACGACGATGCCGAGTGTGAGAGAATTCCTCTGACAGCCTGCGCGGACTTCCCGACATGGGCCTCCTAAGTCTTCTTTGATGAACCGATTAGATGTTCTCAAAAGAAAATCAACTCCTTTGCGTCATATACGTTCATGATTTGGGTGGAGAGTGGCTAGGAGGCTAACCCCTGACCAGCACGAAACCTGCTCACTGTCAACAGCTAGCCCATTAGCTTAGCATCCCAGCTGATTTTCAGGCCCAGATGATGTAACGACCAAAACAACCCGCGATCAGCTGCACTGTGCCCAACAGCAGAAGTGGACGCTCGACAGCACCGCGCCGAGGTCCAGCTCGTATTTGTTTCACCCACACGACCCGGAAAAACACAATTACGTCAACGAAATAGCTCCGATCAGCTGACGTCGGAAAGTGACGTCATTTCCGCCCATACAATCGCAGAGAAATAGTTTTGCAAACACTGGTCCAACATACGATTAGATTTTGGGTAAAAAAATCAAAACTTTTTTTTTCATACAAATATACAGAAATGTACGATATATTCTTAGCCGTAAACGCGTGTAAACAAAAAAGCTAGAGATTTTTTACTTCTATCCATCCATCCATCCATCCATTTTCCGATCCTCTTTATCCTCACAAGGGTCGCGGGGTGCCGGAGCCTGTCCCAGCTGTCTTCGGGCAGTAGGCGGGGGACACCCTGAACTGGTTGCCAGCCAATCGCAAGGCACATAGAGACAACAACCGCCCACGGTCACACCTCAGGACACTTGAGTGTTTAATCAACACACCGTCCATATTTTTGGAATGTGAGAGGAAACCGGAGTACCTGGAGAAAACCCACGCAGGCCCGGGGGAACACGCAAACTCCACACAGAAAGGCCGGAGATGCAATTGAACCTCTGCAGTGAGTTCGGCGAGCTAACCACTGGACCACCCACCGGGCTGCCATTTTTTTTTTTTTTACATCTATTCAAAGTTAAAGATTAAGATATCTTTTATTTGTCCCACACTGGGGAAATTTACACCCTACAGCAGCAATTTTGGGGGTTAGAAAGAAGAAAAACAAAGTGTTTGCAGTACAGCAGCAATTTTGGGGGGTAGAAAGAAGAAAAACAAAGTGTTTGCAAGCACAAAAATAAATGTAAATAAAGAGAGCTGTACACAGTAAAATATAAGTGCAATATAAATATAGATCAGTGGCGGATGCTGGTCTGTCAAGAAGGGGAAGCTCAATTTCGGGCTACATCATAAAATGTGTCTGTTTATTTCTACGTGAATTATATTCTCCGTTCTTTTTCAAGAAAATGATCTGTGACCC